CATGTTACAACGTGCCCCTCAGCTGTTACAATGTACCCCACCTATGGGGCATGTTGTCACATTTCACTTCCAATTTTTAAGGGTTTTTTAAGAAAAACATATACACTGTAATTATGAAACAAAGCGACATATTTGTACTAGACAAGTGTGAAATTACTGTGGATAAAAAAATTATACTCTGAACCCCATGTGGATTTACACAATTTGAGAAAGTCAAAAAGTGTTACTTTGTGCCCCGCTCTCCCCTATATATATATATATATATATATATATATGACTATAACATCCTGCCCAATGTTGTCCAATGGAACAATGTTTATATTAACGGCAATGAAAACAAATATAGTAAAAGTAGGCTATTTTATCCATTATGTGCAAAAAAAAAAGGGGCTAAAATCACATTACATTCTAGCATTGTAACATTACAATCTAAAAACAAAATTAATACTTTTTCAAGCAGAAGTTACATTCATTAAACTAAAAATGAAAGTAAATGAACCCAAGAGCACAGATTAATTGCACTATATTTTGATTACCCCATTACTGCTATCATAAAATACACTTGTAGGTTTAAAATTCTACATATGACACAATTATTGCGCTTTTATTCTATTGCGCTCCGTCTGTTTGGCACGCATGCGCGCGGCGGCGCTGGTTCACTGAAGTCTGTGGAGTTTAGCGGAGGATCGCGTGCAGAAGGCTCCTGACAGCAAAACGGAAATAATGACTTTATAACATTTACAGATGGAGAATATACCTGTGAAATTGAGTTCATTGAGGAAAACAGCACATCTTAAAGCAGCACTATGTAACTTTTTCTGTGTTCAAAATTTGCAAAATGTATATAATGAGCGAGTACATCATGAATTAATCTTCCAAACCGCGTTTTTGTCTTATTCCGAATCACTACGGTACACTTATAATAAGTACTTATATTTGGACTATTGTAGCCTGGTCACCGCTGCGGAGTAACACATACCTGCGTGAATCGCCATAGACATAAACTTAGAGAAGTAGCTCCGGTTGGAATGTTCTGCCGCGGGATGTGTGCAGTTCTGTTTATTAACCGCTAGAGCGCCAAAAGTTACGTAGTGCTGCTTTAAACCGCGCGAGTATCCTATCTGTCAGCAGCACATGAGTCTGTCAGAGCATCTGACGGGGGAACCGCTTTAAACTAACTATACGTAATGACTGTATCTTACCAGTTATTTTAAAGCCCTTAATATAAGCATGTCTCATGTTTAGGACAAACTGGATTATGCGCTTTCCCCGCAGCAGCTCGATATATCGCACTTTTTGTAGTGGGGCATGTTGTCACACTACAGTAAATGGTGTAAAAAAATTGTCATAGTGGAACCTGGCATTAAAATAGACTAAAACAAGTGAACACTAAATATGAATACTAAAAATAGTAACATACAAAAATGTTTTTTTTCCAACAAATATTGTGGTTAATACATTTATGTTAACAATATCTAAGACAAATTCCTCCAAAAAGAGTGAAAAAAAAATATTGAAATGCATTTACTGTGTATCCAAAAAATGATAACATGCCGAGATACTAGCAACATTCTTTTATTATTACAAGTGCAAAAAAATTAAGGGCTCAGTGCATTTAAAATCCACAACAAACGTTTCGGTCACACAGGACCTCAATGTTCACAATCTTTTGAAACACGTGTAACCACCTCAGTAGTGCCACAAACTGATCACCTCCATGCCATGCCGAGTTGAGGCAGTAATTAAAGCAAAAGGAGACTCTACCAAGTATTGAGTACATGTACAGTAAATTAACATACTTTCCAGAAGGCCAACAATTCATTAAAAATGTTTTTTTTTATTGGTCTTATGGAGTATTCTAATTTGTTGAGATAGTGAGTTGGTGGGTTTTTGTTAAATGTGAGCCAAAATCATCACAATTAAAAGAACCAAAGACTTAAACTACTTCAGTCTGTGTGCATTGAATTTATTTAATACACGAGTTTCACAATTTGAGTTGAATTACTGAAATAAATGAACTTTTCCACGACATTCTAATTTATTGAGATGCACCTGTAGTATACAGTATACACTGAGCAGTATGCAGTAATCTAATATTGTCTTGTGAACATACCCAAAGGGTTCCCCTCATAAAGTTTGATCAGTGCTTATGTATTGTCAGCTTTGGACGTTTAACAGCTTTGTATTATTTATTTATACTCTTCTATCTTGTGATGAAAGCAGTAGTCTGGTGCGATGTGATGTAAGACTGCTGTTATCTGGACACCATCTGTCCAATCCTGTTACATAAAACGATGAGGGAAAAATATTTAACTAGTCCATTACACTGTGCAATGCTGCTTCTCATCTGAGTCATATATCCATTTAATCATTGCTGTCTAAATATCTCTTAATAGGAGGTACATTATGCATGCATTCAGTGATTGACCATTGGGCCGGTGCGCTTGAATGGGCAGATGAAACAGAGTGCAAAAGGAAATCAGCCACATTATTTGAGTGCTCTTAGAGAGGTCACAGTGTATCGGAACGGGACACTCCTTTCCCAAGGAAGTACTTGGAAAGCCCATTTAAGAGACAATGCATTTTCCTTCTGTAAGTCTTTTCCTTTAGTAACATATAATGTTTCCTTCTCTGATATTCAAGGTCTTGAAATGACTTGCAGTCAGTGTGGTGCAAAGTCCCTTATAAGGTTGTTAAGTATCTATATAATGAAAATGTGAGGGTTCTCTGTGTTTGTAAACGTACCCGGGAATAAAAATGGCTTAAAAAGCCTGGATTCAAAGATTAGCGGTTTCCCCACTTTGCAGGACCAAGTGTAAAATGGTAATAAGGACATAGAGAAGATTATAGAAGATCATTAGTTGGTAAATGGAGTGTACATTTTCAGTTTTACAGCAGGAGTTTGAGCCATGGCTTATGAGCATTAATAGTGCTAGTTTCATTACACAGTTCTCATTTTAGAATTATGGCTTAATTATATTTCACGTTTGCATTAGATCATTTGGGCCGTTGCTTTAAAACTGGGTGAGATCCTAAAGGCAGCAGGTCATTAAATAATTGGGCTGGTGGATGTGTGCCATTCCCACCCTGCTGCTATTGATGTGTGCCGAGGCAAAATCAGTTCACACTAGTTCAAACGTGATGCTTTGGTTTGTTTATGACCTTGGTTTGGTAGTGGGTACAAGTACAGTTGCTCTAATGTATGTATACTTGCTGATATTATACACAAAAACTTGTGCATTTGGTCACTCTTATTGAGCTTTAAAGGTGACATATAATGAAAATCTGACTTTTCCAGGTTTTAAGTGCTATAATGAGGTCCCCAGTGCATCTACCAACCAAGGAAACGTGAAAAAGATTAACCCAATCACTTTGTTTTGGGAAGCCTTTTTCTGCAAGCGTCTGAGAAAACGAGCGCGTCTGATTTCGCTCCCTTGGTGATGTGGCAAAGGGATCTCATTATAATATTACCGCCCCTTAATCTGTAAACTTCCACTCAAGGCACCATCATTTTGATTTCGCAAGCGACAACGGTGCACCAACTCTAATGCCATGGCGAAATTTTGAGCAAAACATGCTAACTATATATATATATATATATATATATATATTTATTTATAAAAATAAAAGAAAAATAGAGCTTATTTTTAGGTTCATTCATATTTCTTACTGAGCCCTGCACATGACATGTGGACAAAATATATTTATTGTGAATTACAAATTTGGCCATCAAAAAAAAAAAAAAAAAAAAACCAAGAGACAGCTGCATGTGTATATGTATGGTCAACTTGTCACTGTCACAAAATAAGACCTAACAGGATGATCAGTGCGACCCAGCATATAGCAAAGGGGTCTTCGATCTGAAGGGGTTATTTTGTGATTTGTTTTGTCAGTTGGTTGCATTTCAGAATGATTTACAGAATGAACGGTCAGTTATACAACAACGGCCCAGACAACAGTCATTATTCAGAAACATTTGACAGCAGAATGCAGTGATAGGTTGTACCTGCAAAATGAAAATTTGGGAAAAAAAAAAAAAAAAAAAAAAAACCCTGATTAATCGTTTTCACTGGAGGAAGCATTATTATGGGTTATGGACTCGCATTTTGGCCAGAAGCAATGGTTTGAAGTTAAAAACATCTTGATGGATTAGTTTCTTACAAACACGCAGCTTTTGGCTTCACGAGATGTTAATGAACACTCGCTCACTCTACATAATACAGTGAGCTTTTAATACAGCAATACAATAAGCTTTCAATGAAGCAACTCAACATTCCTTCGTTACTAGTACGAGAAGGCTTGAGCTCAG